ATTTTGCCTGTCCCTTCCCAGTAACAGGTTCCAGAGACCTGAATCCCAGGACCTAGAGCAGCCAATATATATCTGGATACTTCTACTTCCCCCTCCGGTGACTGTGACGGACATCATTAGTTAAATACAGCACTTTCCTAAGGTCACTCATGTGCATGTAGACAATAGATCCAAATTGCCATTAGAGACCCTGAGTAGAAAGACACAAGAAAGATGCTATCACTGATTTCTTATCAGGAGTGTCAGTAGAATACAGCAAAGGTGGGCTGAAAATATAAGCTGTAAAATCATTAATTATCAAAATGTACTGTGCACGAGCACAAGGAAGGCTTTTGATATGACTGCTGGGGATCAAGGATGTCTGAAAAGACCCATAAACTTACTTCTTACCAAATCTACTTAGGGATCACTTCCCACATCCTTGGAGAAGTCTACTGTAGATCCTATTAGACAATTTCCACTTAATACTTTAAAACTTATTTTGTTGTATTAATAGTTGGAAGAAAATTTGTTACTGTAGTTCTAATGTTGCATATATATAATTTGGCCTTGTCCTGAATAAAATAGAATTGAAATGCATATAACATGTATAACAAGGCAATACTGGAAAACTGTACACTTTGATGGTTCTGTTCTTCATAATACACTTGGCATTGTCTGAGAGCAAAGTAGGCTCACACACAAAAAAAAACCAGACCATTTCTAGGGTATGATTTAAAAGCAGAGGTTACAAACTCATGGCATTGTGGATTTTAGCATAACTCACTGAGACTGGGGTTCAGATTCATCTAATACAGGACCAAGAGCAGAGCTTCTCTGAATTTGATCGTAGGAGAGCAAACACTCTGCAGAAGCAACTGCAACTAAACTTTCAGAAAAATAATCATCACTTTCCTCTTTCTATTATTCTGAGTCAGGAATGGGCGTGGGGTTAGGCATAAAGGTTATTTGAATTAAATAAGTAGCCAAGTGCATTCATTCATTCATTTTTTCATTCATTCACTGAGTACCTAGTATGTGCACGGTATTCTGTTATACATTATGGGGGATGCAAGGTGAAACAGGCAGGGATTTTGTTTTCAAAGGTTCTCTAGCAGAAATGCCACCATCCTCTCTTAATAGATTAGAATTTGAGAATATGGGCCTAATTCGGGAACATGGGACAAAATCTAACTATTGTACAGTGGCACCTAAACACAAGAACATTGGGTTTAATCATTAGAAGCAGAATATATCACAATTGTCTACACAAATCAGCAGTCTTCAAAAATATTAATAGTCTCTCTCTCTCTCCTTTCTTTCTACGTGGATTACATTATCACTTGAAAAATTACTAGTTGCTGAATCACTTAGATGCATTACTGTGCTCTTAGGTAATTATTCTTGGTAATGAAATTCTTTTCATCAGCTCCACTTTCAGATTTGCAATACAGGCTTGTCCTTTAACAAGTAAGTGTTCTTTTCAGAAAAATATGCAGCAGATGTGGCAAAACAGAAATATAATATTCCTGGAAGTGGACTAATTTGGGTAATAATTGAACTTTCCTTTATTGTTCTGGGACTTTATTCTTCTAGTAATTTTTCTGTCCACATCAAATTTTCAAGAAGGTTAAAGCCATCATTTTGCATAATTTATTCTCAAATCTTCAAAGGTCAGTAAAATTCTTGTTACATCTTTTCAGGTTTTTGTGCTTAGAAGCTGTTGATTTATATTTTCCCTAATCTTTTCTAGAATGGAATATTTCAATACTTTCCATTGGGTTTTCCTACATACCATTAACTTGTTCTTCAACTAATAATCTTAATCCAACCACCTTTTGAAGGCCTATAAAATCTGTTAAGTGGTAGTGCCCAAGAACAAGACAGAAAAGAACCTAATGTGGACTTTGGAGTCAATCCAATTTGGGTTTCACATAAGGCTCTGCCACTCTCTATGTGGCTCTAGATAAATTACTTAATCTCTCTTAGCCTCAGTTTCCTTATCTGTAGAATGGAGCTACAACACATATTGTAAGGTCATAATGAGAATCAAGTAGGATATAAGAAAGCAGAGAGCCTGGTACTTAATAAGAACTCCTTAAATAACAATTTCCCTTTATTTCCCCCTAAAAAAGACAATAGTAAGATCAGGATTTAATCATTAAAACATATAAACAGTTACAGATGCTCATATCCTAATCCGTTTTTCTGACAATTTGATATGTAGATGATTTGGCATTTCTCCCCTTTATTAATGGAAAAAAGCACCCTACATCAGGGAAAATGAAAATTTGGGGGAAAGCCACCTATAATTTCATCATCCTAGCTAGCCTCATGACTGTTTCCATTTTTGTTATGGTCTGGCTTTTATACAAAAACGGTCACATTTCTTTTTCAGTCGCCATCAGGGTGTGCTTACCATGGCATCATCTCTTTTAAGGTACTAAGAGATTTTTTCCAGGTGATAATGGGAAGCTGCTGAAGAAGACGGAAAGGAAGGCTGCGGAGGTGTTCAAGTTCTCTTATGATATTGTTCAAATCTTTCTGCAGCACAGAAACTCCACAAAGAACTCCTCTGCAGTTTTCCTTACCCAGGGCTATTTCTTTAAATCCTTTGACGTCAGAGAAGGAATGCTATAGCAACAGTCTGTCAAACTGGAATTAACTCAGAAGAAAGATGGGGGTGGAGAGAGGAAAACTGCTCCCGGGCGGGTACTGACTTCAGAGGAAGCAAATTGGGTAGAGACATTCACTTTATGACATTTTAAACATAATACACCCAGAGAAATGTGAAAAAATTTCAGTTGAAATGCATATGATGTTTAACTCATGCAGAGAAGAGAGACTTGACGGGGTTATCTGGAAGGCCTGGTTTCATCAGCGACAATAGTAACAATGACTTCCAAGTATTGATCATTTATTTACAGGCAGGCTCTGTGCAGGCATTATCTCACTTAATATTTTAGCACCTTAATAAGGCAGGTATCATCCCTATTTCCTAAAGATGAAATTGAGGCCCTGAGACGGTACACAGCC